AAGCAACTGCAATAGAAAAATAGCTAATGGCCCATAATCATCATCATCAGCCCACTGCAGTCCACTGCTGGGCATAGGCCTCTCCCAAGGTATGCTACTGGGCACGATCTTCAGCCTTTCTCATCCAGTTACTACCCGCAACCTTACGTATGCCGTCGCTCCACTTAACTGCGGGGCGTCCTACACTACGTTTGCCAATTCGCAGTCTCCACTCTAGAACTCGTCTACTCCAGCGAGCAACCGTTCTGCAGATATGACCAGCCCACTGCCACTTCAATTTGCAAATACGAAGAGTCTATGTCGGTGACCTTAGTTCTCTGGCGAACTTCGTTTTGAATTTCATACCTTCAGGCATACCTGTTTTCATACCTTTTAATTCAACTACCAAACCTTGTAATGGTAATACTTTATAACTTAGAATAGAATAGAATGAAGCACTTTTGAAAATCATTTTTTTTCGGAAAGCTGTTCACACAAGGAGAACGAGCAAGAAACTTGCGTGTTGCTCTTTTAAATAATTTTATTATTACTTTACAATTTAGTTTAAGTGTGTGAATACAAACTACAATTTTAGAAATAGAAATAGAAAATAATTTATTCAAATAAACTTAATTTAAGCACTTTTGAATAGTCATAACAATTTGTTTTTTATCTACCATTCGGAAAGCTGTCTCATCACAAGAAGAACGAGCAAGAAACTTGTGTGTTGCTCTTATAAATAATTTTAGTTTATTCGAAACGTGTGAATACAAACTACCAACAAGCACTAATTTTTTGGGTCAAATATAATAAGATTAAATCAGTCGTAGTGTGTGCAGCATACAAACTACCAATTAACACTAATTCAATTATACTCAAATAGAAAAAATATTGAATATACTTAGAAAATAATACCTTCTAATGCAGATATCATTAAAATCTGATGTTATTTCACATCTTAAACGATCTATAAAAGGGGAAACATTTGTAATAGTGTTAGTACTTACCTGTGTGATGCGCGCGCTGCATTATACAGGGCAGTAATATTTTTCACTACTTTTTTCAGTTGACAACGAGCCAAATTAGTTTTTAATTTTTGTGGCTAAACAACAGCAGATAATAAAAAAAATGAATAGGACCTGTTTTGTGCAGAATTTTTTTCTCTACAACTTTTATTTGAAATATTTTTTCATATTTCTTACCGTTATAGAGTTATTTTGAAAAAAGGCGTTTTTGAACCCTTTTATTTTTATTTTTTTATTTCTTTCCTTCTATATATATATCATTCCTTATGTAATCACGCATGTTTTACAAGTAAAGAATATTGAATCTTTGCACCTAAACTGGTCACATTATTATTTTTTTGTGGATGATAATAAAATGGTGCACCCGCCTGTGCTAACGGGGCAACAGTGGCGGATGATAAGATGAACATGAGGTCAGGTCAGTTAGGCCATCGTGACAAATTCACTAAGGAATTATCACGTTGTTTACAAGGAGGAACCGCGTGGAGGTCGACGTAACATGGTATATTGCTAGCAATGGGGATTTCTAGTATTACTAACAATCACCTACCCCCCATAATATAATGGTTTAAATTATAATTTTATTGGACTATTAGCTGACCCTGCAAACATTGTTTTGCTATATAAATTAAAATCGCTATTACAAAATTGAAGTTCATGCTAGAAAGGTGAAAATTTAGGGTTGTATGTAATTTTCAATTCTAAATAAAATATTATGTCGCTAAAATAAAAAAAATATATTTAGGGGTGGTTATCACTTACCACTTACGGGTATTAAAAATAGATAGTAGCCGATTCTCAGACCTACTGAATATGCATATAAAATTTCATAAAAATCCATCAAGCCGTTTCGGAGGTGTATGGTAACTAACATTGTGACACGAGAATTTTATAAATAAGATACTGTTTTATAGCAAAAATAGATGAAACAATGACACTTTGAACGAAGTCTGTCGCGGGTAAAACAGTTAATTTATTTAAATATATTTCAGCCATTGCCACTCCATTGCAGCAACATTTGAATTGTAAAGTATCCGAGAATTCCGAGCATAATTTTTCCTTTTTGTATAATCGTATTTCTGGGATAAAATCTATGTTGATGGAATTGTAAAGTAACAATGAATGAACTAATTTACATCCCCATCATGACTACCATTATGTATATACTTGGAAATACCTTTATTTCAACTTGCAATGCGTGGCTTGGTCTTTGAAATAAAAGGAAATATTTTTGAAAAATGTATCAGATATATTTATAAATATATTCAAAGAGGGAACGCTGCCAGTATCTTCGGAACGTTGCCTAAAGGGACCCTTTTTAATAATATATTTTAGTTATTGTATTATATTTTTTAACCTTTTTAATTTTAGGTTGTAGTTGTATAATTAAGTTATGTAAATGATATAATTAGTTTAGTATTGTTGTCATTTGAATCTGTTTTTACTCGTATATATAACAAATATTGCTTAGTAACGTGGCTAATGCATAACTTACCCTCATTTCTGGCCATCACTTGTGTGCAATGTAGAGTCATAACTCTACATTGCACCTTCAGCAAATCATAAAACAACCAACCTACCTAAAAGCCAAACCAACCTAAAAGTTAAAGATAATAATTAGAAAGAAATTTATAACCAAATAATAATTAATAAGATACATTTATAAAATTCTTATCTGATCTGTAATCGCTATTAAAAAAATGATAATAGTAAATGGTAGAAATGTAAAAAATTTGTTGTATGTAATTTTTAATTGATATCATTAAAATATTAAAATTTACAAAAAAATAAATAAATGTTTCGGGTAACCTTTATTACTTAAGGGTTACATATACACTTAAACAGACCTACCGAGTATATATAGAACATTTCTTTAAAATCAGTTAAGTTCTCTGATACACAGACACAAGATATCTACTAATTTCACAAAATTAACATCTACAATATTAATTTGCAATTTATATATATTATATAATAGTGAAGGGAAGGGAAAGGAAGGGAAGGCCTCCAGCAAGGTGGACCGACGATCTGGTCAAGATCGCTGGAAAGATGCGAGAAGCGCAGGACCGATCGTCGTGGAAATCCTTGGGGGAGGCCTATATCCAGCAGTGGACGTCTTCCGGGCTGAGATGATGATGATGCTATATAATAAAACGAGAACTATATATATATACAGCTTTTGCCCGCGGTTAATGTATCCCCCTAGGGGTGGAATTTATCAAAATCCTTTCTTAGGGGATACCTACGTCATAGTAGCTTTATGCATGCAAAGTCTCAACCCGATCGGTTTAAAATTGACAAAGTTTCATACAAACTTTCATCCCCTATTTTATCCCCTTGGGGATAGAATTAATCAAAATCCTTTCTTAGAGGATGCCTACGTCATAACATCTACCTGCATGTCAATCCGTCCAGTAGTTTGGGCTGTGCGTTGATAGATCACTATGTCAGTCACCTTTGAGTTAATGAATATTAAGTATTTATAGTGTATATGATATGTAAATTGTACATCCAATAACTAATTGTTACACCTCGACCAGCACAGTCTAATCACTCCTCTCTATCCTAAGATTGGCTGGAAGAAATTACTATTTAGCGATAAGGCCGCCCATTGTTAACTCTATATTATAATTATGTTGTTTTTCTTTTTAGAATAGAATAGAATAGAAAATCATTTATTCAAATAAACTTAATTTAAGCACTTTTGAATAGTCAACATTTTTTTAAATCTACCGCTTATTCGGAAAGCTGTCTCATTACAAGAAGAATAAGCAAGAAACTTGTGTGTTGCTCTTTTAAACAATCCTTGTAAGTTCACATTTTACAAGTCGAAACGTGTGAATACAAACTACCAACAAGCACTAATTTATTTAGGCTCAAATATAAAAACACAATAAGATTAAATCAGTTGTAGTGATAAGAGCAGACCAGTCCCTACAAGCAGCACTCGTTCACGAGTATGACGGATGAGCCAGCCATCACTGCGCTCGACCATATTTTATGGAGCCCAATGACCCGGCCCACCACGCCGCCACATTTTATATCTAATATACATATTAATTTATGTAACTGTAATATCTTTCTATGAGAGGAACAATAAAGTGTTTTTTATTTCATTTAAAAAAAATATCACTGTATTTGTATCAGTTGTCTAGTACCCATAACACAAGCTTTAGCTAGCTTAACTTAGGTCTAGATGGCGCTGTGTGGATTGTCCTGAGATTATCATTATTATTATTGCGTACGATGTATACAATTTTCATCACAGCATTCTCCAATTACACGAGTCGTAATTACCTATGTCCATTGTATTCATATTTGATGCGTGGCATGCGTGATTTCATACACGTGTTAGATTATTTATGTATATCCAGAATATGAATGATGAATATGGTCATCATATACTCATTTCTTGTGATGATTGAGTGAGAGTGTAGGCAGTACAGGCAATATGATATCTATACATATAAATAAAATTGGAGTGTCTGTTTGTAATATTGAAATAACCGTTTTTTACTACATGCATATGAATATAAATACGGTACATACACCTAAATAACATCTTTTACAATTTTTGTCTGTCTGGTTGTTCCGGCTCATCTCTGAAATTTTTTTGGCAGACAGGCGATGTAATAATGAGTAACTTAGCCTACTTTTATATTAGAAAAATGCTTTTATTTAAAAAAAATAATGTTAAATTCCACTCGGACGATGTCGCGGATTTTCGAAGATTTTCATTTATAGACACCTATATAGGATTTTTCATTTTAGCTGCTTATGAACTTAAATTTTTTTATATTATAATTTTTTATATTGTACATAAACTGACTTCAAAAAATAAGTCATTCAATCGAGTTTTGCCAGTTCTTCTCAATCGGATCTATATACTGAACTGAACGGTAGGAAAAAAATATAATATAAAAAATTTTACGTTCATAAGCGACTAAAATGTCCTACATGAATAAATGATTATTGAATTTAAAATCCTACTTACAGATCGTTGGGCAGCTATGATGCGTGATCCTGGATTAGCTCTAGAAGTGAAGCCAGCGAGTGGTGTTTTAGCTGGCCAGTCACAAGTGGAACTCACCGTCCGAGTGTACTCCGACTGCTGGGGACTGTACCGCGATCAGATTATGATACAGGTATATCTTTCATTGCTTTCTTAAAGACAAGCTAAGACCGCAACTTTGTACATTATATACATTTAGAAAGAAAGAAAAATTTATTTATTTGGCGCATACAAAACAATCATACAACATATTAAAAAAAATAACAAAAATAACAAAATATTTTAAAAATACAGCTGCGGTCAAATTGGTTTCCACTCAGCTTTGTGTCTGGGCTGTAATGCCCAAACGCTGATTTTCAGTGGAATTAAAATAAGTTTACATAAACTGGTACAAAAGTTAGTCTTACCGCTAAGCAATATCTTACAGACTATCTTTAAATGGGTACCGTAGTGTATGGACGTCTGAACCACTACGCATTGCCGACCTTTAAGAAACTCTTCTTCAAAAACCCATACTATAGTTGTAAAAGATAACGACGTAATATAGAACAAAATATAACATAATATGGAACGACGTTGGGGTGGTACACCCCAGCAGTACGCTCGGGTAAAGAGCTCAGCTCGAGGCCCGTTCCGGCGGTCCATAAAGGACCAGCGGACGACCCGGAATCGGATTCTATAGTCTCGCGAAAAAATCTGGACAAGTAGTTCATTCTATAATCTAACTGTATGCGGGAGGAAGCTCTTCTAAAACCGCACTGTCTGAGACCATTTTAGGTTAGGGTGTATATATGTCGGGTTGAATTCTCTGTGGTATAAAAAAGTACAGGAAAAATAATGTACCATCAATCTATCAGATGACGTCTCAACAATGACCCATTATATCACCCTGTATAGACAAACTTGGGCACTTGACAGAGAACAGAAGCGATCAAATATCTGAATCACCAGGGCAGTCAGGTACGCGTTGCTGACCTTTAAGAAACCTTAATAAAACCCTTCTTGAAAAACCCCATACTATAGTCTAGCGACCCCATCTAGCGAGTAAATATTGGCAAGTAGTTCATTCTACAATCTAACTGTATGCGGGAGGAAAGTCTTCTAAAACCGCACTGTCCGAGACCACTTTAGATTAGGTGTCAGTGTATGGGGTTGAATTCCCTGCTGTATAAATAGTTTATTGTACAATCTAACTGTACGCGTCAGGTAGCTCTCCTAAAACCGCACTGTCCGAGACCACTTTAGGTTCGGGTGTCCGTGTGTGGGGTTGAATTCCCTGTCGTATAAAAAAGTACAGGAAAAACAATCTATCAGGCGACGTCTCAACAACGACCCATTACATCACCCTGTATAGACAAACTTGGGCACTCGACAGAGAACAGAAGCGACCAAATATCTCACCTCGGGTAGTTTGGTATGGACATATGAAACACCAGGGGTGTCAGGTACGCGTTGTCGACCTTTGAGAAACCTTAGTAAAAATTATATTGTAAAAACCTCATGCTGTAGTCTCTCGAAAATCTTGGAAAGAGGTCCTTCCATAATCTAAGTGTATGCGGGAGGAAGCTCTTCTAAAACCGCACTGTCCGAGTCCACTTTAGGTTCGACTGTCGTGTGTAGGGTTAAATTCCCTTGAAATTCCCACGAAAATCTTGGAAAGAGTTCATTCTACAATCTAAGTGTACGCGGGACGAAGCTCTTATAAAATCGCACTGTCCCAGACCCCTTTGGGTAAGGTACGTATATGGGGTTGAATTCCCTGCCATATAAATAGTTCATTCTACAATCTAACTGTACGCGAAAGGAAGCTCTTCTAAAACCGCACTGTCCGAGACCACTTTAGGTTCGGGTGTCTGTGTGTGAGGTTGAATTCCCTGTCGTATAAAAAAGTACAGGAAAAACAATCTATCAGGCGACGTCTCAACAACGACCCATTACATCACCCTGTATAGACAAACTTGGGCACTCGACAGAGAACAGAAGCGGGCAAATATCTCGCCTCGAGCACTTTAATGTGTTTATTCACTCTTCCGTATCGGGATTGATTTCTATGTGTAACATGTTTGCTTTTTGTGTTATTCGTTATTTGATACTAAGTACTGTGTCCCGATGAACCGTATACACTAACTATTATAGATATACTAGCTCAGGATAGGCGAACCAATGGCATGCGTGCCATTGACGGCACGCGACACAATACTATTATAGATATACTAGCTCAGGATATGCGAACCAATGGCATGCGTGCCATTGACGGCACGCGACACAATACTATTATAGATATACTAGCTCAGGATAGGCGAATCAATGGCACGCATACCATTGACGGCACGCGACACAATACTATTATAGATATACTAGCTCAGGATAGGCGAACCAATGGCATGCGTGCCATTGACGGCATGCGACACAATATTTTGGGCACGTCGACGATCATAAAACTGTTTGAAGAAGCTGGCTCATGCTATTTTAACAATATTTTCACCTACCTATGCCTGCGATTTATTTTCAGAGATGAATAACATTAAAAACTCGGTTATAAACCGTTGAACAGATGAATCCAGTTCAGCATGCATTTTGCTAAAAGTTGCTAAAAGTAACATTGTACAAGCCTGACATAAATTATTTGTCATCTAACTTGCAGCAATAGAAGTCACACTAATTTTACAGTAATATAATTTATGCGTGTAATGAAAACAATCCAAAATGTACCTCTTTTGTTTACTTTATTTCATAGAGAGTTTTGATAGTATTTATTATTATTTTCTAAATAATCAGAAAGTCAAAATTATTTGATGGCACGTCAATGACCCTATTAAACATTTTCTGGAAAAAATGGCTCGTTGATGCATAAAGGTTCGCCTACACTGTACTAGTAGACCCCGCAAATGTTTAGGGTTGTATGTATTTTTTAATGACACAAAATAAAAAAATATAAATAAAAAGTTTTGCTCAAAAAATAAAAAATAATGCCAGGGGTGGACAACCCTTATCACTTAGGGGTATGAAAAGTAATTCTGATTCAAGACCTACTGAGTATGCATACAAAATTTCATAAAAATCGGTTAAGCCGTTTCAAACGGCCGGCCCATCTGATAGTAATAGGCTGGATCGATTTTGACGGGACTTTTTTTGACAAGTAGCTGCTGTAATAAGAAGTAACTTATGCTACTCTTATTTTAGAAAATAAAGTTAAATTCCACGCGGTTTAAGTCGCGGGAACAGCTAGTTATACATATAAACCTTCTTCTTGAATCATTCTATCTAATAAAAAAAAAGAAACTGCATTAAAATCCGTTGCGTAGTTTTAAAGATTAACATACATAAGGACGGACAGACAGCGACAGCGACTTTGTTTTATACTAAGTAATGATGATAGATCAGATCAGACTCCACCGTCCGCGCATTTTTCTTAAAAAGGTGTATAAAGTTTTTGATTCACGTAATTATCTAAATATATATAACTCAAAGGTGACTGACTGACATAGTGATCTATCAACGCACAGCCCAAACCACTGGACGGATCGGGCTGAAATTTAGCATGCAGGTAGATGTTATGACGTAGGCATCCGCTAAGAAAGGATTTTGATTCATTCTACCCCCAAAGGGATAAAATAGGGGATGAAAGTTTGTATGAAACTTTGTCAATTTAAACCGATCGGGCTGAGACTTTGCATGCATAAAGCTACTATGACGTAGGCATCCCCTAAGAAAGGATTTTGATAAACTCGACCCCTAAGGGGACAAATTAACGCGAGCGTAACAGCGGGCAAAAGCTAGTATTATAATAATTATAGTTAAGGGTGAAGAAACACAATATCTTCTACATTGAAGGAAATCTATAAATTTATTATATATAGTTCTAACAATAAACCTACTTCAATCCAGACAAAATTCGTAGTTAACTCTCTAAGCACTCATCTCACTAACGAGAGTTCTACCAGTGGGACAATTCAATTTTATTATTCACTAGCTATACAATCGAGTTCGTGCGCGTGGAATTTAACTTTATTTTTCTAAGATAAAAGTAGCCTAAGTTACTCTTTATTACATCAGCTACCTGCCAAAAAAGTCCAGTCAAAATCGGTCCAGCCATTTCAGTAATTAGCTGGAACAAAAAGAAATTGGTGTATGTACCGTATTTATACTCATATGCATGTAGTAAAAAACGTTTATATCAATATTACAAACAGACACTTCAACTTTATTTATATATGTATACACTAGCTGTTTCTGCGAGTTCGTTCGCGTGTAATTTAACTTTATTTTTCTAAAATTAAAGTAGCCTAAGTCACTCCTTATTACATCAGCTACCTGCCAGAAAAGTCCCGTCAAAATCGGTCCAACTATTGCAAAGATTAGCCGGAACAAACAAACACACAGAAAGACAGACAAAAGTTGTAAAAAATGTTATTTTGATATATGTACCGTATATATATATATTCATATGAATGTAGTAAAAAACTGTTATTTCAATATTACAAACAGACACTCCAATTTTATTTATATGTATAGATTAGAATTTGCGGTTTAGCGTCTAACTGTTTTGTCTGCCATTTGTGAAATCCTGTAACAGTTTCCAAGATGAAGGGTACAGTAGTAATCTCTAAGTGGTTAACTTAACAAGATGGTTTGCGAGTTATTATTGAGTTAAGTTTAGCAGTTAAATATCGGAAACTGATATTGCAGGAAGATATTTAGTAACATGAGCCGTCCCATTGTACTTAGATGAGATGTACATCTCCAGAACTGTATGTTATATGTATATTGATAATGATATACATATAACAACTTTGAATTTTTATTTATATTACGTGGAATTTAATGTTATATGTATATTAAAAAAATATAATGAATAGTCTATTACATAGAAATAGAAAATCATTTATTCAAATAAACTTAATTTAAGCACTTTTGAATAGTCAACAATTTAACAAAAAAGTTAATAAGATATTTTTTTTAAATAAAAGTAGCCTACTTTTATTTTAGAAAAATAGCTAGCTGTTCCCGCGACTTCGTCCGCGTGGATTATACAGCTAGTATATAAATAATGATAAAGTCCAAAAGGTTGTCAATTTTTAATGATAATGAACTAGGGTACCGGAACGTTTTGTCAGTATAATGGAGCCTGGGGCGCTGCTAGGGTATCCACTTTTCCCAGAATGCCAGGAGTTCCCTCGAAATCGGTCCTGAAAATTTCCCAAATCGAATAGAAAACAAAAGGTCTCCTGGAATTTCTCAGATAGACAAAATACATTGAATATTTTTCAATATAATTTTCCAAAAAATCGTGCAATACTATAGATGGACTGTGTGAAAGATGATATGGTAAGAAAGGAAGTAAATAACGAGATGACTGCAATCAGAGATGAATATAAGAGAAAAACATATTACGGCGACCACAAATAAATGGGATAAGGAAGAAGTAGATGATGACAAAATCGTGTACAGTTTTTTTTTTATTTCTGGTATTAAACTGCTTTTAATGCAAGATTAAAATCTGTCACTTTGTAAATATATGTTCTGGTGTATATGTAATAAAAAAAAGAAAATATCTTTATTCATGTAGATCTATTACAGACTCTTATGATATGTCAAATCTACCGTCAGTTCGGAGTGCCTTCGAGCTAAGAACAACAGAACTCTAGTGTTGACACGGGTCAAATAGAAAACTAGAGAAAAATAATCTAATGAAATTCCGGAAAAGAACACCTAATTCTGTAAAAATAGAGAACAAGTTATAAAGATCTATATTTTTATATTTTCTCCCTAAATTATATAGCCAAAAGGTAACCCTACTCCCAAATAGGGTGGACACATCTGGCGTGACGAGTCGCGGACCGTTCCCGTGCGATGGGTGCCCGGGGCTCCGCAGATTGTCGGACATGGCTTCTCATATCAATAATTCATACAGTTCCCACTCAATTTTGTATTTAATAGTTTTTCGACCCTTCCATGCTCACGTCCAACTTACGGAATCTTTTGAATATGAAAATTGAGAGCGTCAAACGGCGGTCTGAAAGTCGTGAGTTCGAATTTATCAAATTCAAATTCAATTCAAATTCAAAAATCATTTATTCATGTCCATTTTTTTGAACGTCAAGTTTTTCCATTATATTCTATATAGATCCAATTGAGAAAATGACAAAATTCATTACTTTTTATTTTTTAAAAATACAAAGGTATTTATATAGATGTCTAACATTAAATGAAAATCCCGAACATGAAAACTAATTTGCACGCTCGTCATTCAAGTAATCGTTTAGTGATTCTTATTAAATGATTTAACAGATGTTTTGAAGAATAATATATTTGTTCTTGTTATTTTTATTATATAAAAGATGTTTTATGGCAAGTTTGTTTTTAAATCTGGAGGCATTTAATAACTTTCTAGAGAGAGTAATCAGTTATTCAATTCAATCAATTCAATTCAAAATATCTTTATTCGTGTAGGTCTATTACAGACTCTTATGATATAATCATAAATATATCAAATCTACCATCAGTTCCGAATGACGTCGAGATGAGAAGAACTGATAAAAAACTCAGCTCGTATTCTTTTTAAATAAATGTTGTACATGTTTACAATAATACAGATTCATTTTTAACTTCAAAATCTGCGTTCAAAAGCGTAGTATTAAAGATTTAAGCATACATAGGGACGGACAGACAGCGACAGCGACTTTGTTTTATGCTATATAATGATAGAATAAAAGTTTCTATTTATAAGGGAAATATTTCACTCGGATCTTTTGAACTTCCTTCCTTTCACTTGAAGGTTTTGTTTCTTATTGGTATTCAGCTTATTGCTTTCAATATTTACGTATCAAATATAACAGATACTTGCTCCAGTGCATTTTTATTACGTTTCGCTTATGATACACATTTTCTCTTTGTATTACTCTCAATTTCTCCCATGTTATCATTACATGGTATAAAACAAAGTCGCTGTCGCTGTCGCTTTCTGTCCGTCTCTGTGTATGCTTAAATCTGTAAAACTACGCAACGGATTTTGAAGCGGTTTATTTTAGTAGATAGAGTGATTCAATAGGAAGGTTTATATGTATAATACAAGTACACTCGTGTGAAGTCGGGGCGACTAGCTAGTCATTACATAGCATAAAACAAAGTCGCTGTCTGTCCGTCCCTATGTATGCTTAAATCTTTAAAACTACGCAACAGATTTTGAAGCGGTTTTTTAATAGATAGAGTGATTCAAGAGGAAGGTTTATATGTATAATACATGTACACCCGGGCGAAGTCCAGGCGAGTAGCTAGTTTAATATAACGTGAACGAGAAACTTGAGAGATATGGTAACCGGCTATTTTATGTATATACTAGCTATGCCCGCGGTTTCTTGCGTGAAATTTATAGCCTATATGTTATTCTGATGTATAAGCAACAATCAACATCAACGTCTATGTGACAGACTCGACCCATTGGCTTTGCGCGAGATATTGCATCTCTGTGCATTTTCTACCGCATATATCACGGAGTGTTCTGAGGAATTGTTCGGATTAATACCAGCTGCTGAGTTTCACCACCGTACCACCCGCCAGAAACTGAAATACCATCCTGTTCATCTGGATGAATGGCAGTCTTCCACAGTGCGGTTTTATAGAAACTTCTCACCACGCACAACCACATTGTGGAATCACCTTCCAGCAATGGTATTTCCGAACCGATACGATATTGAAACCTTCAAGAAAAGAGCTTATTCCTTTTTAAAAGGCCGACAACGTACTTGCAATTCCCCTGGTGTTGCGGGTGCTCATGGGCGGCGGTAATCACTTACCATCAGGTGAACCGCATGCTCGTTTGTCCCCTGTGTTATAAAAAAAAAAGCAATATTACTGTAAAGTTTGATCAAAGCCATTGAGTAGTTTTTGCGTAAAAGAGGAACAAACATCCATACTGACAAACTTTCCCGTTTATTATATTATCAAGCTGACCCCGGAAATGTTTTGACATATAAATTAAAATCGCTATTAAAAATAACAGTTGATGGTAGAAGCGTGAAAATTTAGGGTTGTATGTATTTTTAATGCCACATTATAAAGAAATAATATTAGTCCATAAAATTAAATAAAAATATTAGGGTTGGACAACCTTTATCACTTAGGGGTAAGAAAAATACATAGAAACCAATTATCAGACGTACTGAACCTGTATATAAAAATTCATAAAAATCGGTCAAACCGTTTCACAAGAGTATGGTAACTAACATTGTGACACAAAAATTTATATATGACTTATATGTTTTCCATTTTGCTGACGGCCTCGGTGTTCTAGCGGTTTAGCACATCGCCTTACTTCCGACGGTCGCGGGTTCGATTCCTCGCACGGCACAAATATTTTGTATTCATGAGTATGATTGTTTGTATCGGTCTGGGTGTTTTCTATGTATAGAAATAGAAATAATCTTTATTCAAATAAACTTAATATAAGCACTTTTGAATAGTCAAGTTTTTTTATTCTACCGCTTATTCGGAATGCAGATTCATCACAAGAAGAATAAGAAAGAAACTTGATTGTTGCTCTTTTAAATAAATATTTATTTACTTATATTTAATTAATAACAAGGATTAGGCATGCGACAATCAACATAGAAACCGCTACACACTTAATCTCTGTTCAATCAGATAACATTGTCAGCGCTATGAATTTTAAGTTAGATATTTTGTACAAAAACATTATTATCATTTATAAATTCTTCAATTTTATAATAAGCTTTTTTACAGAGAATATATTTTGACACAATTGATGATTTTTTCTGGAAAATTGACTACAGACAAATATATATCTATATGTATGTCTCAGTTATCTAGTACCCATAACACAAGATCTAGCTAGCATAACTTGGATCTAGATGGCGCTGTGTGAATTTTTTTATTTTTTTATATTATAATTATACAATCTGCCTACACTTCTTTCTATGTAATAATCTTTTTACAATATTTCTCGTTCGTTGGTATTATATATACTTAAAATGTTAAGAAATGATGTTTATTCAGTAGATCAGTAGATAGAGAAAAAATTAAAACGCACATTAAACAAATAAAAAAAACAAACAGTGCAACAATTACAAAAAAAAAGTACACAAATTACGTGTGTGCGCATGTGTATGTTTGTCGAAGAATCTACCGAATTGATCCGTGCTCAGCATAATGCTGCAGCGGCTGGAGCGCTGCAACGCTGTTTCCAGCACAAGACCTGGGCTGGTGTATTGCTGTGTTGTACACGATTTATGATATGATATACTAAATACTTATATGTTATATATATGTATTTATAGATTGAAAGTCTGGAGCCAATTATACTCGATGTGTGGGTGGAGATTTTGGGAGCTCCCCTTTATTTCCCTGCCAAAAGACCTGACGGCGACTCACCAGTACTATGGTAAGGTTTTTTTATGTTTTTTCAAATTCAAATTCAAATTCAAAATATCTTTATTCATATAGGTCTATTACAGACTCTTATGATATGTCAAATCTACCGTCAGTTCGGAATGATATCGATATGAGAAGAACTGACAAGAAACTCGGCTCGTATTTTTTTCAAATAACAGTGAAACATGTTTATAATAATACACAATCATTAAAATTCAAATTTGGGAGAATAGAGTGACCACCAGCATATGCTATCGCAAAGAACAAAAAATTTAATCACTTCACAACCTGAACAGACCAGTCCCCACAAGCAGCACCCGTTCACGAGTATGACGTATAGCCAGCCATCATTGTACTCAACCATATTTGAGGGAGCACATCGACCCGGCCCACCACGCCGCCACAAGTTTGAACTTTATAGCGAGCATGACTGTTTCTGGTTACTCCACTACGTCAATTATATTATTTACAGCATAGGCTGTACCGATCACAGTTTTCACCCATTACAATATTAAATTTACAATATGTCATTACAAAATTTATAATAAGTTTCTTAAATGTTGTATGTAATGTTATTTGAATGGCAAATAATCAAATACCTCGATTGATAGTAAATATTTACCGTACTAATATTTTAGACGGCCTCGTTAGTGTAGCAGTTTAGCACATCGCTTTACTACCAATGGTCGCAGTTTCGATTCATCGCACGGAATCATACTCATGAATACAAATATTTGTATTCATGAGTATGAATGTTTTGTATGTGTAATAAAATAAATGTATGTGTATCAGTTGTCTAGTACCCATAAGAAGGTCTGCTTAGCTTTGGACTAGATGACGCTGTGTGAATTATATTATATGTTATGATTATTTATTATAATACACGAGTGTACATGTATTATATATATATAAACCTTCCTCTTGAATCACTCTATCTATTAAAAGATACCGCTTCAAAATCCGTTGCGTAGTTTTAAAGATTTAAGCATACATAAGTACAGACAGCGACAGCGACTTTGTTTTATACTATGTAATAACTAGCTACTCGCCCCGACTTCACACGGGTGTACATGTATTATACGTATAAATCTTCCTCTTGAATTGCTCTATCTATTAAAAAAGACCGCTTCAAAATCGGTTGCGTAGTTTTAAAGATTTAAGCATACCTAGGTACAGACAGCGACAGCGACTTTGTTTTATACTATGTTATGATAATAATGTATACTTATGTAGTTATACGTGACATTTGTATTTTTTTTTGCACCAGTTTAAGTTTCTGATATTAATTATAAAATAAAAATAGAATTAGACTGTAGTCTGTGGAAAGTGTGTGTTGAGTTAGTAAAATAAAAACTTGTTGAAAAGTAAAAAAAAATTAATTTGAGTTTTGAAATTGTATGGTTTTGAGAAATATATCTTCGACGACCTCGGTGGTCTAGCGGTCTAGCACACCGCTTTACGTCCGATGATCGCGGGTTCCATTCCTCGCACGGCACAAACATTATTCATGAGTATGATTGTTTGTATCGGTCTGGGTGCTTTCTATGTATAATATGTATTTACAAAAAAAAATCTATGTATTTGTATCAGTTGTCTAACACTCATAAAACAAGCTTTAGTTAGCTTAACTTGGGTGTAGATGGCGCTGTGTGAATTGTCCTGAGATTATTATTATTATTAATTATTCATCTTTAAAGTAATTATTTATTAGATGAATGTTTTTTTTTTTAAGTTAGAGTATTGTGTTAGATCTAATTTTTTTTTTATTTCAATTAGATCGTCTTGGAAGAAAATCTGTTTTAACAACGGATTTATTCAATGTGCCAAACCATAAATTGCTCCGTGTTACCATCTCGACTTGTAATTTAGATAAACTTGCCATAATATTTAATGGTGTCTGTTTTATCAGACTAACATAATCAATTTAAAGCATCTACTGCGGACAGACTTTGGTTCTTAATCGGTGGAGTAGATCTATGTGGAGATGAGAGCTGGCTTAAGTTTGTACCATCAATTCAAATATAAGTTAAAAAATAATTTATTCATGTAGGACATTTTAGCCGCTTATGTACGTAAAATTTTTTATTATATTTTTCTTTTTTCCCTACCGTTGTAATTTGTTGATTTACTTACTGGACTTACATTATTTTGTTTAATTGTCCGATACCCATATTGCGACGCGGATTTCGCCTCTAAATTTAAATTCAAATTCAAAAATCATTTATTCATGTAGGACATTTTAGCCGCTTATGAACATCAAATTTTTCACATTATATTTTTTTTCTTTTTTCCCTAACGTCCAGTTCTGTATATGGATCCAATTGAGAAGAACTGGCAAGAAACTTAACTAATTGAATTATATATTTTTTAAGAATCATATAATCAAGAATATCTTTGTTGAGTTTCGAAATGATTAGAGAGCAGACTCTTTTTCAGCCTCTAAGAGGCAGACGCTTAAATAGGCAACAAAATACAGGAATTTAGTTTTTTACCAGGGACAAATTATCAAAAGACAAATTATCTAGCGTAGATCGATTTAGTACTAAAAAAAAACGGAGCACGATTCGAATACGGGACAGTCACTCCCACCGGGACATTTTATACTAAGCCTGAAATACGGGACGTCCCAGGAAATACGGGACGTCTGGCAATGATGCACTGCTTATGCTATCAATGAATGCTAGCAGAGCACCAAGTCAATTGACCCGTTGTGACATCATCACCAATAATCTAAATATATATAACTTAAAGGTGACTGACTGACATAGTGATCTATCAACGCACAGCCCAAACCACTGGACGGATCGGGCTGAAATTTGACATCCAGGTAGATTTTATGACGTAGGCATTCACTAAGAAAGGATTTTGATTAATTCTACCCACAAAGAGATAAAATAGGGGATGAAAGTTTGTATTAATCTTTTTAGATTTTCGACTGATTGAACTGAAATTAAAGATTGGAGCTACTATGACGAAGACGTTTGCTTAAATATGATTTTAATAAATTCATCCCCCATGGGGATAAAATAAGGGATGATGCAGGATGTAAATGTATTAGTTTGAACCTATCAGTACCTAATGGAACGAATAAATTAAGACGAATAAAATAATTTTTAGTTTTTTAGGCTACTTTTATTTTAGAAAAATAAAGTTTAATTCCACGCGGACGAAGTCGCGGGGACAGCTAGTTTATCATAACTTCAAAATAATCATTATTAAAACCCTTTCTACTTCCTTCGACGGTTAGAATATACTTTATCTCAAATGCGTATATTTCAATAAAAAAACGGTTATTTCAATATTACAGACACTCCAATTTTATTTATATGTTTAGATAACATATTAGATTAAAAAAATGGTATACATTTGGTTGGCATTTAGAAACACGACACCAATTACAATCGACTTGGAATAAAAATGAACAAAAACAAAAAAATATATTTATAGTTATTGCAAACGTTACCAGTAGGAGTTCTATAAAAACAGATGGTGCAATACAAGGTTGCTGTAATGTGATTTCGGCTCCGTTGTACCCAAATAAAACAGACATATTACAATAACTCAAGTAAATAATATAAATGACATAGTGGAGTAACTTGAAACAGTCATGCCCGCTATAAAGTTCAAACTTGTGGCGGCGCACTATGGAAAATATAGGTCAGTTTCGGATCAAAAATCTATAACTTCCTGAGTTTTTATCATATCGTAATGAAATTTGGTATATATATGCAGTAATGTATGTAGATTCAAATAATATATAATTTATAATGAGTTCTCATTGTATGTTTAAATTTAAATAGCGTAAAGCGACAAAACACGGGATAAGCACGAAAAAAGAGGTAACTTATATATTTAAAGTGAAATATAAAGTAACATCATCATCATCTGCTTCATCCTTATCCCATTTATTTGGGGTCGGCGTAATATGTTTTTCGCTTCCATTCATCCCTGTTCGCAGTCATCGCGTTATTTACTTCCTTTCTTACCATATCATCTTTCACACAGTCCATCCATCTCTTTTTTGGCCTTCCTCTGCCCTTATAACCATCCACATTCATTTGTAACATCTTTCTTAAAATATTATCCTCGTTCCTACGCATTACATGTCCAATATAAAGTAACAATTGTTATAAAAATTACAACTAAATATAAATAATACAGTTTAAGGAATACATTGTATAACTATAATTCACAATCTGTGCTAATTACAGCTGTAAATGCGCGGCTTCAATGTCTCACACGGTACAAACGGTACAAAAGTTTGTATCCATGAATATGACTGTATCGGTCTGAATTCTATGTATATTAAGTGTGTATTTACAATAAACATATCTAAATATTTATATTAGTTGTCTTGTAGCTATAATACAAGAGTTTGGTAACAAACACTGCGTCACGAGAATGTTATATATTTTCTCACGAGACTATGTACAACATGTGGTTTATATATACTTCGTTATACTTCACTTGAAGTTACACTGGACTTAATGGCTAGAATTATCTGTTATTGTCTCACGCAAAACGGGTGCAAATTTGATAAGACACTTTAGTTATTAAAATAATTAAAAAAAAAAAAATAGCCCATAATGTTCATGCGAACAGTCCCTGTGGTAAACCGCAAATGATACCGAATTTTCATACTCCGACTTTTATCAGTTTGTTCTTATATCTTCTAAAACCGCAAATATCCGCAGCTGATTTTTTTGTATATTACTAATGAATAGTTATACTGTGAACTAATATAAAAAGTAGCGGGTGGAGAGACATAACTTTCAATGAAAATTTTTTTTTGTGAAAAATTTGGTAATTTTCTGTTTTATGTACTTTCTCAAATATCTCAAAATGAAACGAAAATTTTAAAGCTGTTTTGTAAAGTACATAAAATTACATACCTACAACATTTGTTTGAAAAGAACGAACTGAGTTTCTTATCAGTTCTTCTCATCTCGAAATCATTCCGAACTGACGGTAAATTTGATATATCATAAGAGTCTGTAATAGACCTACATGAATAAAGATATTTTGAATTGAATTTGAACGTGACAGATATAGAGAGGGCTGTATAAACAAAGGGCGATGTAGCAATCCAAATATTTTACCTCTCTATGGTAGATTTGACATATCATAAGAGTCTGTAATAGACCTACATGAATAAATATATTTTGAATTGAATTTGAACGTGATAGATATAGAGACGGCTGTATAAACAAAGGGCGATGTAGCAATCCAAATATTTCACCTGTCTACGGTAGATCTGACATATCATAAGAGTCTGTAATAGACCTACATGAATAGAGATATTTTGAATTGAATTTGAACGTGACAGATATAGAGAGGGCTGTTTAAACAAAGGGCGATGTAGCAATCCAAATATTTTACCTGTATATCCCTCTAATACCTCCGCCCTTGATAAGGATTAGACCATAAGTACGTACTGTATAATTAATTGTACATCCACGTGACTGCCGCCGCACAAATTGATGCTAACTGGCTTATATTCTATACTAGTTGGGCCCGCTTTTTCGCGCGCGTGAAATTTATAGCCTATGTGTTATTCTAATTTATAAGCTACTTTAATTTCATTAAAATTCGTTCAGTAGTTTTTGCGTGAAAGAGTAACAAACATCTACCCATGCTCACAAACTTTCGCGTTTATAATATTAATAAGACTAGCTGTTCCCGCGACTTCGTCCGCGTGGGAAATAACTTTATTTTTCTAAAATAAAAGTGGCCTAAGTTACTAAGTTATTACACAGCTACCTGCCAATAAAAGTCTTGTCAAAATTATTCCAACCATTTCAGAGAACAAACAGACAGGCAGACAAAATTAAAAAAAAATATTAATTTGGTGTATGTACCGTATTTATATTCATATGAATAATGCATATGCATGTAGTAAAAAATGCACTGAGCGTCCGTCGTAATAGCGATCCCCGTTTGAATTGGACGGGGTATCGATGGTGTAAGTCAAAACGTCAAAGAGGTAAATCTTTACTTGCCATATATTTATTTGTGTTGAGACGGTTAATGATATAAATTTTTGTTGGTTTGTTTGTAACAGCATTGGAGTAGTCCGAAATAGGTTGCCCTAACCGTGGTCACGAGCTGACTGGATTGGATTAAAAATAACTATAAATATATATTTATGTATATTTGAGTCATATATATTTAATTTATTTATTACGTGCGTCACCTACACTGTTCTTATTTTTATTTCTCTATCCACCTAAAGGTAGTCTGGAAGAGTTTGCTTACCAATAAGACAGCCTGTTACATCAGTCAATGTATATTTTTTATTTTAATTGTTTTTTTTTTCGTTCTCTAATTGGTGCTATAAAGAATATAAAGAAAAAAAAACTAAACGCAAATCTTTGTTCTGTAGTTTATTAGTAGATACAGATATAGCGCTTTAATAAAACGTAACCAATCAGTGAGACAACTTTAAATAAAGTTACGACAGACAGACAATAATACTTTGCAATGCTAATCAGATCACGTTTTCCGTTGATATAATTTACAAGTTTCCAAATTGAAGGTCATAGATAATTTAACACTGTTTAACATCTAGAAAAGTTGGAAAAAGAAATGATAGGTTGACTTGGTTATGTTATATTTTTAGACTAAACCAGCTTTTGCCAGTGGCTTCGCTCGCGTTAATTTATCCCTTTTAGGAGTGGAATTTATCAAAATCCTTTCTATGGGGATACCTATGTCATAGTAGCTTTATGCATGCAAAATCTCAGCCCGATCGGTTTAAAACTGAGAAAGTTTCATACAAACTTTCATCCCCTATTTTATTCTCTTGGGGGTAGAATTAATCAAAATCCTTTCTTAGCGGATGCCTACATCATAACAGCTACCTGCATGCCAAATTTCATCCCGATTCGTCCAGTGGTTTGGGCTGTGCGTTGATAGAGCACTATGTCAGTCATCTTTGAGTTATATATATTTAAATTTTGGCGCCAACGTAATTTATTTTTTTTAAAATGGACTACAGGCAACGGAACGAAACCAAACAGTTATAATATTAAGACAATATTCAAAGTGGGATATTTAACACAGGAAGAAGTAAAGGAAATTATAACGTTGTCTGCAAATAAACTTATTCTTACTAGATATTGATTATTATTATCTAAATCTTTATTGGTAAGTACGATACTGAAATTATTCTTCTTTATTCGCAGGATGTCAGCATCAGACCCCACCCGTAAGGTTCGTGCTCGCAATGCCTCCAGATCACGGCTCTATGTACACGCTTATGTAATATGTGAACATGGTAATACAATTGTTTAATTAGTTTTTATCCGATTAATTAATGTATTTCGAAATAGTATCAATCAATTGAATTATATAGAATTAAAATAAAATGTTGACAATTAATGAAATATTAACATTTTTTTTTTTAATCTCAGGACAATTCACACAGCGCCATCTAGACCCAAGTTAAGCTAGCTAGAGCTTGTGTTATGGGTACTAGATAACTGATACATATACATAGATTTTTTTTGTAAATACATACATATTATACATAGAAAACACCCAGACCGTTACAAACAATCATACTCATGAATACAAATGTTTGTGCCGTGCGAGGAATCGAACCCGCGACCATCGGTCGTAAAGCGGTGTGCTTGACCGCAATTTTATTATATTATATTCCGTAAAATTTTATTATATTCCATAATGTTTTTAAAGTAAGAAGTTATGGTGAATGACTAATATTTAGAATTTATAATGACTTGATTGATTTATAATGAGGATTACAGAATTAATATTTGTACGCTGGAAACAGCAGATTATGATGAAACATATATTATATATACTTACCACCATCGTCGAGGAGATCTTTGGGGGAGGCCTATGTCCAGCAGTGGACGTCTTCCGGGCTGCGATGATGACGTTGATGATGACATACCATATTCTGTTCAAATAAATATATTATTATTATTATTAAATATTTTTAGACAAAGAATAGTTTTTTTTTTAAGTACAACCCATCATACAAAGATGGCATATTACGTTTTGATACTATATTTGTTACATTGTTTGCTTATGTGCTTACATTGCGTTTTGTTATATTAGAAACTTTAATCTAACAGAGCAACACACAAGTTTCTTGCTCATTCTTCTTGTGATGAGTCTGTATTCCGAATGAGCGGTAGAATAAAAAACTTGACTATTCAAAAGTGCCTATATTAAGTTCATATGGACTGTGTGAAAGATGATATGGTAAGAAAGGAAGTAAATAACGCGATGACTGCGAACAGGGATGAATGGAAGAGAAAAACAACAAAAAACGCCGACCACAAATAAATGGGATAAGGAAGAAGCAGATGATGATGCGATTCCTTATTGTCTCCAGAGGAAACTGCTGTAGGTAGTTTATTCTACACCGCACGTTAGATGTTAGACTTTACAAATTAAAGAATAGCTATAATAAATAATGTATTATATATATAAACCTTCCTCTTGAATCACTCTATCCTTTAAAAAAACATCTTCAAAATCTGTTGCGTATTTTTAAAGATTTAAGCATACATAGGGACGCACAGGAAGCGAGTTTGTTTTATATATGTAATGAAGCGTCAATATTGTTGTTTCAGAACAACATCAAGATCGTCTGCCATTTCGTATCTACATACGTTTTCTGGATGTGGTTTCAGCAACATGTCCATGTTCGCAGGCTTTGTGTAATATAAATTATCTTTATTCAAATCAATAGTATTCTCATTTTATTTTTTTTTGTCTTCATATTTATTCATATGTAAAAATGAAGTGTCTATTTATACTTTTTTCGAAGTTTAAAATTCAAATATCATTTATTCATGTAGGATATTTTAGCCGCTTATGAACGTCAAGTTTTTACATTATAATTTTTTTTCCCTACCCAGTCCGTCCAGTTCGGTATATACATTCAATTGAGTAGAACTGGCAAGAAACTCAATTGAATAACTTTTTTTTTAAAGCCAGTTTATTTACAATGCATAGGTATTTATATAGGTGTTTATGTCTAACATTAAATTAAAATCCCGTACATGAAAACTATTGCCATGCACGCTCGTCATTCAAGTAATCGTTTAGTGAGTAATAGGCCTAGATCAGTAAATATGATTTAACAGATGTTTTGAATTTATTTAAGGGTAATTCCAATATATCCTTTGGTATTTTATTATAAATTTTTATACCTATTCCTATAAAAGACCTATTGACTTTTAAACTAATTGAAAACTTTTAATAAAATTTAAACCTAGTGACTTCTAAACGATACTTGGGGACAAATATCGTTTAGAAAAAGTGAATAGGTCATTTAAATTAATAGCTTTGCACTAAACTTATATGAAAGTATATTTTATTTTTTATTTATTTAACTTTAATGCACAAAAACAATGTGTACATATGGCGGAATTAACACCTTGCGGCGTTATCTACCAGGCAACCATGAGTGGTGCAGAGAAAGATTGTTGGCGGTGCACTAATATAAATGAGAAATGTATATGCGATAAATATATCAAAACATTGATTAAAACAATAATCTTTTTCACGGGACTTTCTTAACTTAAGCTATTTCTATTATTACTTTCAAATTAATAGCTTCGCACTAAATTCATATGAAAGTATATATATTAAATATCTCAAAATATAAATTAAAAAATAATCTTTCACGGGACTTTCTTAACTTAAGTTGCTTTTATTGTAGATATTTTATTTATTTCCGTAAAAAAGAAAGTTAAATTCCCCGCTTAGGAAGTCGTGCAGCGTTACAGTTGAGTTTATAATAAAGATTCCGCAACGTATAATAAGAGAGAAACTTAGCTATTGCTGTTTAGAGTTTTTTTTTTTTATTCTTTATTGTACAAAAACACGTGTACAAAAGGCGAGCTTAATGCAAAATGGCATACTCTACCAGCTAACCTTTAGGTACAAAAGAAACGTTAGAAAACGTTACTTATTGTATATTTAGAAGTGCTTAAATTTAGTTTAGTTTATTTTTTTTTCTTTATTCTATTCTATTCTATAAACAAATGTTATAATAATAATAACTCTTTATTGTGCACAGACAAACAAAGAAATAAAGTATAATAAAAATGTTATACAAAAGGCGGTATTAAAGCAATTTCTTACAGACAACCGTTATAATAGAATGTTGTATGCTTAAGATTTTGTATGAATATAGTTACCAACAGTGTATATCATGCACCGTAATGGTTAGCGCCGGCGGTGGCACAATTTCATCAACAACTATTAAAAACAATGTACTTACACAATCGCACTGTAAATCTGTCCGGTCATGTTTTACAACTTTTATCCAACGTTAACATGTTAAATTGATGCATTCATTTCAATTTAGTTGTAATACATCTACGTAGAGAACAGAGTGGGTGGGCTGATGTCAATAATGTGATTTATTAGCGGGCTCTGAGCGAGATTTATTGCTGCCGACAGAGGCAACTGTTGTGATGCCAATTGAACATTTGCACATACGATCGACTAAAAGCGATTCAACTATTCAATTAACGAAATTGCCAATTTTTCATTTAGTTTTATTATATTGGTGTTCGGATAACAATTTAGTCCAAACAACTTAGTATGAGCTATCAAGAACTTTATTGCAGTACTAGCTTTTGCTCGCGGCTTCGCTCGCGTTATTTTGTCCCCTTAGGGGTAGAATTAATCAAAATCCTTTCTTAGCGGATCATAGCATTAGTATTTTGGTCATAACATCTACCTGCATGCCAAATTTTAGCTCGATCCGTCCAGTGGTTTGGGCTGTGCGTTGATAGATCACTATGTCAGTCACATTTGAGTTATATATATTTAGATATTGAGGAAAAAATGAAATTTAATTCAATTGTGATTTTTTTGTGTTATGAAGATATGGAAATAGTAAATCTTACTAATGTTATAAAAGAGCTAGTTTGTGAATTTGGATGGATTAATGGATGTTTGTTACTCTTTCACGCAAATACTACTAAATGGATTTTATTAAAACTTACAATAATATAGCGTATACATCAGAATAGCACATAAATTCACACGGATGAAATCGCAGGCCCAATTAGTGTATAATAGAAGCAATGATTATTTCTTTGCCTAACTATGAATGAATAAATGAATGATTGAAATAATTGAAATGCTAATAAAGATAATTATAATGATTATAAATATTGTCGATAAAGAAACAACAATATAAATAGTACTCTGATAGATGCAATTATAATTAATGTAATTGGCTTAATAAATTTTGCAGCGGATAGTTTACCTGGTGAAAGTGATATTGAAACCAAATCTACAAGTTTCTCTGAAGAAATGGACACTGGTATAGAATTATATTTAGCAGAGGACTATGGAGTGCAAGACGATCAATATTATAAGGTTAGTTATAGTATTTTACTACTATTAATATTAAAATAGAATTGCAATAAAATTGTAATTCATATAGAATATGAATATTGTAAAATATATCAACATAACAGCAACGAACAAAATTACAGCTAAAAGCTATAAAAAATAATTGAGTCACTAAAGAATGATATTTTCATAACAAAACGAGAATTGCTAACTTTGTCTAAATCGACATTAGTGTAAATCTAAATTGGGATATAGTATTTTGAGACATTGATATTATATTAACATTGAAAAGAAAGAAAGAAACATTTTATTCAGTGCAATGTAAAAAATACAATATAAACAACAAACGATAAAAAAGAGCAAATAATATGTACATTTAATTAAACTTAATTTAATTAATTGAAGACGATGCTGTTAAATTTGTACCTTCAAACAATTTTTATAAATCTCCAACTATAAGTGCTGCAGGTGCTTTGTATATTCACACTCTATTTGCGAATAATGTGAAACCTTAAGAATAAAATGCGTTTAAACTTATAGGTGGAGCCAGAAGTCTGCACAGTAGATCCAAATGCTTTCAATTCTTGGACGGTAACTTTGATGTCACCAGGACATGGTGAGCTTGCACCTAACTCCATGATACTGCTGCGCTGTCTGCCGCTAGATACCTTTGGGTTTGTGCTACGTCTTTGTTTAAAATTTCCTAATTATAGATATTAAATATTCATGTACATGAATGTCTTTTGATAAATTTATTCATTCTGTTCTTCTTAAAATTATTACATTAAGAAAATATATGAGAAAAATATTGGGGCATTTGATACGATATGATCAAATAATTAATAATGTTATCGAAGGAAAAATAGATGGAAAGAGAGGAAGGGCAAGACCAAGACACAGATATATCAAGCAAGTTAAAGAACAAGTTGGAATCGTGTCATATCAACAGCTAAAAAGACTGATAGAAGATCGTGGAAGGTGGTGGGAGCTCCACCGACACAGCGACACAGCTCTGGTTTCGCACGGGTGTACGTGTATTATATATATAAACTTCCCTCTTGAATCACTCGATCTGTCAAAAAAACCGCTTCAAAATCCGTTGTGCAGTTTTAAAGATTTAAGCATACATAGGAAGGACAGACAGCGACAGAGACTTTGTTTTATACTTGTTGTGGTGGGGCTCCTTTTTGTTTAGATGATATGTAAGATGATATGATTACTAATAAATAATATATATGTTTGCAGCAGAATAATTCTATTGTCCCTTTTTATAATATATTTACAATAATGTCAATCAGTATTTTGACAACAACTATTATAAAATCGTAATCGGTGAGGAGGCCGTATATACACCTAACAATACTATGTAATTATGAAAAATTTATAGCCATTGAAATTCTCCTTCATAGTTGTCTCGAAAAATCGTTCATTACATTCCTGCTCGGTTGTGTCTTTCTTTTTCCCTACTTTTATTTTTTCTCTTTTCGCAAGTCTCATTATAAATTTTGTTTTTAAATGTAAGACTTTACGGGAAATCACGTTTATTTTCCTTGAAGCCTCATAATGTTTTATGAGGTGGTTGTTTAGTCTTCTATATCAACATATTTACTCCTTTTTGAAAATAATTGCTCATAAATATAAAAGGAAATATTTCTCTTTTCATCGTTACATATGTTAAATGACTGCTAACACGTGGCAAAATGAATTCAGCATATATAACGGAAAGTAAGATAAATGTTATTATTTGACGGCCTTGGTGATCTAGCGGTTTATGTTACATCCGATGGTCACGACTTCGATTCCTCGCATGGCACAATCGTATGTATTCATGAGTTGATTGTTTGCATCGGTCTGGATGTTTTCTGTGTATAACATGTATGTATTTACGATAAAAATATGTATGTATTTGTGTCAGTTATCTAGTACCCATAACAGAAGCTTTAGCTAGCTTTATTTGTGTCTAGGTGTTGTGTGAATAGTCCTGAGATTATTATTACGTTTTTTTTCCATACATTTTGTATTCTCGATTTTTTTCGGCGTTGTAGTTTAGAGTTACGGGTCATACTGATCAAGTAATTGTAATATATTTAATATCAGATTATTGTCACAGTGATTTCTTAACTTATTCTCTTTCTTTAAAAGTCTGATTTTGTTATTTCAGTATTACAAACAGACACTCTAAATTTATTTATAAGTATAGATGTATAGATTAGCTATACTCGCAATTTCGTCCATATGAAATTTATATCCGATGTGTTATTCTGACGTATGAGCTATATTATTGTAAAGTTTCTCGGATTAAAAAAACATCTGTCAATCCATCCACCTAATCTCTCTTGCGGTTTTGAATCTGTTTGAGGCGAGACTTCGCTTCGCTTTGTGTGATCTACCAATTATACAACAGACTGTGTTCTGAGGAATTGTTCGACATGATGCCTACGGCCACCTTTTACCATCGTACCGCTCGCCATCGACAGGGAATTCATTCCCACACGCTGGAACCTAAGTGGTCTCGAACAGTGCGGTTTCAGAGGAGCTTCCTACCTCGTACATTTAGGTTGTGGAATGAACTTCCTGCTGAGGTTTTCTCATGAGACTACAGCATGAGATTTTTCAAGAAGGGTATATTAAGGTTTCTTAAGGGTCGGCAACGCGTACGTGACACTCCTGGTGTTTTAGGCATCCATAGGCTAGGGTAACCATTTACCATCAGATGGGCCGTATGCCTGTTTGCCACCATAGCAGTATAAAAAAAAACTTTCGCGTTTATATTCTTAATAAGATTTAAAAAATACAATTTCTTGACTTAAGAGGAACAACAAAACGGTAAGTAAAATTCAGTGCATTACCCACGAATTTTTAAGATGTAGTTACCTTCTTTATTCGAGTCTCGTATACTGCTCAGCCATTCGGATGATATGATGAAATAAAAAACGTACCGAACATATCTTATACTAGCTTTTACCCGCGGCTTCGCTCGGAAAACTTCACTATTCGGCTACTAGATGGCGCTGATTTGTAATTGATGTATAATTTAATTACTGGCTACTAGATGGCGCTGAAGCAGCAAAAGGTTGATATTATATTTTTCTGTTTTTTTTTTTATTTGCAGTGATGGCTGGCTCATCCGTCATACTCGTGAACGGATGCTGCTTGTAGGGACTGGTCTGCTCTTATCACTACGACTGATTTAATCTTATTGTACATTTATATTTGACCCAAATAAATTAGTGTTGGTTGGTAGTTTGTATTGACACGTTTCGACTTGTAATTGTAAACTTACAAGGATTATTTAATAGAGCAACACACAAGTTTCTTGCTCGTTCTTCTTGTGATGAGGTAGATTTCCGAATGAGCGGTAGATTAAAAAAAAATGTTATGACTATTCAAAAGTGCTTGAATTAAATTTATTTGAATAAAGGATTTTCTATTCTATTCTATTAAAAATATATGTTTTTTTTTTATAAAAAGTATCCTATGTTCATTCTAATAACTCCAAGGAGATGTGTACAAAATTTCATGGTGATCAGTTCAGTAGTTTTTACGTGAAAGTGTAACAAACATCTCTACTTTCATATTTATAATATTAGTAAGGAAGTGAGGGTGAACATTGAGAACGTACGTTCCTTTTTAGGACCGTCCTATAAAATTCAACATTTCTGTGTACATGTATGAGTAAATGACAATGACGGCTCCAATGGACCTGCAAAATTATCTGCGGGGTGAGTGGAGCGGTTATGGGCCAAGATTTTGAGTGTCCAGCCCAGGGGCGGATCTACCTAAGGGCTTTTTGGGCTGCAGCCCAGGGCCCCGAATTTACAAAGGCCCCCAATCCCCACTGAAACGATATTTAGAATATAAAAAAAATATCTATAACGTTAAAAAACCTATCATAAGGTTGGCAATCCTGAGATCAATCAACACATGCAGGTGCTATCGAAAGGAACGGGAAATTTCTGGTCGCTTGTTTTTGGTCGGTGGTTTTTTTAGTTGCGTAATGTAGGTAGGGCCCTAAGTAGATTTAGTCCAGGGCCCCACAAATTCACGATCCGCCCCTGGTCCAGCCTGTACGAGAGCGTTTAGATAAGGGGCGGAAAGGTTTTGTGTGGAATTTAACAAGTAAATAGCCTCAGCAACTGCATGATTGTCAGATAAACTGTGGACAAATTACGATTGGGTTTTCCCAGACGATTTTTTCAATAGTTTTACGGGACGAAGAATGTTTGCATTGGTAATTCTGTTATAACCATGTAACATAGTGATTTGTTATTTAGATAGATAGATAGATTTTCTTTATTCACAATTACAGACACACAATATACAAACTACCATTTCAGATAAAGTTTCAAAATATCAGGATCTTGCAATAGAGGTAATAACATAATGGAGAGCTGAAACTGTACATACTGTACCTATTGTACTTTCTACTACGGGTATTGTACCCAAAACATTTCAAAATAGTCTGCAAACATTAAATATTCACCCTTCCAAAACATATCTCCTACAAAAATTCACAATATTAAATACCTGTCGCATAACTCGAAAATTCTTGACCTCCTCAACAATATCCTCACCCAGCACAACCTCTCCCACACTTGGCAAAGGCCCGTGTAGGTGAGTATAACCTTCTTTTAAATGTATAAAAGAAGAGAAAAAAAGAAAAATAGTAATAGAAAATACTTTGTTCAAATTTAGCGCTCATAAATAGTCATAACAATTTCTTTAATCTACCGCTCAGTAGGAAAGCTGTTTCCTCACAAGAATAATGAGCAAGAAACTTGTGTGTTGCTCTTTTAAATAATCCTTCTAACGTTATATTTTTCAAGTCGATACGTGTTTTTTTATGCTACTATGGTGGCATACAAGCATACGGCCCATCTGATGGTAAATGGTTACCGTAGCCTATGGACGCCTGAAACACCAGGGGTGTCACGTGCGCGCTGCCGACCCTTAAGAGACCTTAATATACCCTTCTTGAAAAACTCCATGCTGTAGTCTCGTGAGAAAACCTCGGCAGGTAGTTCATTCCACAATGTAAGTGTACGCGGGAGGAAGCTCCTCTGAAACCGCACTGTCCGAGACCACTTAGGTTCCAGCGTGTGGGGATGAATTCCCTGTCGATGGCGAGCGGTGCGGTGGTAAAAGGTGGCCGTCGGTATCATGTCGAACAATTCCTCAGAACACAGTCCGTTGTATAATCGGTAGAACGTGTAAATACAAACAAACAACTAGCACTCATTTATTTGCAAGGAAAAACAAACATTCGGTCAGGTTGTATGTTTGTTTGTCATTCCAATTACATAAAATAAAAATGTACAAAGTTAACAACGTTTATTGCGGCTTTCATCTGTTTACGCATTTTAAAAGACCCCACAGATTAGCAGTCATAAAAAACATGGGTAATCTATACATATAAATAAAATTGGAGTGTCTGTTTGTAATAACCGTTTTTTACTACATGTATACGAATAAATAAATACGGTACATATACCAAAATAACATTTTTTACAATTTTTGTCTGTCACTCTGTCTGTTCCGGGTAATCTCTGAAATGGCTGGACCGATTTTGACGGAACCTTTATTGGCAGGTGATGTAATAAGGAGTAACTTAGGCTACTTTATTTTAAAAAAAAGTATTGTGATTAACTTTTATTTTTGAAAAAATATATTTTTTTAGAAATATTAAATTCCACGCGGACGTAGTCGCGGGTAATGCTGATAATTCATAAACGAGACGATGTAATGGTCCATGCAGTAGGCATTGGTGGCATACGTAATCGCTCTCACGCTAACCAAGTACAGCATCCCATTGTATGCGGCAATTAATTAAAATTTCATCCCTAATGTATCCGCTTTTGGGTCAGCGTGAGAATTTCGTGGTATGTAAATATTGTTTTGTAACAAATAAATGTTCGCTATTCAGTTCTTACCTTAGTATAATATTTTAACATAATTTTTTTTTATTACATTTTTAATTAGCTGTGAAATTTATAGCCCTTATATTATAGTGATGTATTAGCTATATCACTGTAAAGTTTCATCGAAATCCATTCAGCAGTTTTTGCGTGAAAGAGTAACAAACATCCATCAATATTCACAATCATAAGCGTTTATAATATTACTAGCTGTTCCCGCGACTTCGTCCGCGTGGAATTTACATTTATTTTTCTAAAATAAAAGTAGCCTAAAGAACTAAAAATTATTTTGTTCGTCTTAATTTATTTGTTCCATTAGGTACTGATAGGTTCAAACTAATACATTTACATCCTGCACCATCCCTTATTTTATCCCCATGGGAATTTATCAAAATCCTATTTAAGCGAATATCTTCATCCTAGTCTAAGTCTAATCTTTAATTTCAGTTTAATCAGTCGAAAATCTAAGAAGATTTATACAAACTTTCATCCCCTATTTTATCCCCTTTGGGGTGGAATTTATCAAAATCCTTTCTTGGGGAATGCCTACGTCATAGTAGCTTTATGCATGCAAAGTCTCAGCCCGATCGGTTTAAAATTGACAAACTTTCATACAAACTTTCATCCCCTATTTTGTCCCCTTGGGGGTAGAATTAATTAAAATTCTTTCTTAGTGGATGCCTACGTGATACGTCATAACATCTACCTGCACACCAAATTTCAGCCCGATCCGTCCAGTGGTTTGGGCTGTGCGTTGATAGATCACTACGTCAGTCACCTTTGAGTTATATATATATATTGATAGATAGTTTTAGAATATAAAGTAATTATTCAATTTAAGCACTTTAGAATATATATGTATATATAATCTGCCGCTTATTTGTAAAGCTGTCTTATCACAAGAATAACGAGCAAGAAACGTGCGTTATGCTCTTTTAATTAATTGCTTTTAATACTGCAATTCGGATTAATTATAAGTTCACTATAATATTTCTTTCCTTCGATAAGTTCGTTTTTGTAAGTTCGTCCAATATCTTTAGTTCCTGATACGACGACACGACTCCTATTTCTTCCTTGATCTGCTTAATATAGCTGTGTCTTGATCTTCCCTTTCCTCTGTTTCCTTCTATAATTTTATTTGTAAGTTCTTCCAATCTCTTTAGTTCTTGATACGACAACACTACTCCTATTTCTTCCTTGATCTGCTTAATATAGCTGTGTCTTGATCTTCCCTTTCCTCTCTTTCCTTCTATAATTTTATTTGTAAGTTCGTCCAATCTCTTTAGTTCTTGATACGACAACACGACTCCTATTTCTTCCTTGATCTGCTTAATATAGCTGTGTCTTGATCTTCCCTTTCCTCTCTTTCCTTCTATAATTTTATTTGTAAGTTCTTCCAATCTCTTTAGTTCTTGATACGACAACACGACTCCTATTTTTTTTTGATCTGCTTAATATAGCTATGTCTTGCTCTTCCCCGTCCTCTCTTTCCTTCTATAATTTTATTCGTAAGTTCGTCCAATCTCTTTAGTTCTTGATACGACGATACGACTCCTATTTTTTTTGAACTGCTTAATATAGCTGTGTCTTGATCTTCCCTTTCCTCTCTTTCCTTCTATAATTTTATTTGTAAGTTCTTCCAATCTCTTTAGTTCTTGATACGACAACACGACTCCTATTTCTTCCTTGATCTGCTTAATATAGCTGTGTCTTGGTCTTCTCCTTCCTTTCTTTCCTTAGATAATTTTATTCGTAAGTTCATCGTGTCACACCAAGTGTCCAAATATATACATGTGTGATATTTTGCAGTGACAGTTGGTACCGACCTGATCCAGCTCCGCAGCTGGTATACTTGAAGCAGACAGTCCGAGAGGGCCAGCTGCGTCTTTCTTGCCGAGAAGTAATCGCCAAGCTGAGTGCTCTCGACTTGCCGTTTGGTGATGTTTTAAGGTATTGCTATTGCTAATGTGGATTATAGGCCGGCGCTGCGCCGGCTCGAGTGCCGTTTACACTTGCCGGCGACCATATCGCCAGCAAATCAGTTGGGGGGTGTGGATCTACTCTTATAGATAATTTAGATACTAGTTGTTGCCAGCGTCGACGTACGCTTATTTTAAGGTAATTGAATGTTTAATATGTGATAGGGTTTTTATTTTATTTATTTATTAATCTATACATCTATGCATATAAATGAAATTGGAGTGTCTGTTTGTAATATTGAAATAACAGTTTTTTACTACATGCATATAAATACGGTACATACACCAAAATATTTTTTTTTACATTTTTTGTCTCATCTGTCTGTTTGTTCCGGCTAATCTCTGAAGTGGCTGGACCGATGTTGACGGGACTTTTTTTAGCAGGTAGCTGATGTAATAAGGAGTTAACTTAGGCTACTTTTATTTTAGAAAAATAAAGTTAAATTCCACGCGGACGAAGTCGCGGGAACAGCTAGTATATAAATAAAAATAAAGTCCAAAAGGTTGTCAATTTTTAATGATAATGAACTACCCTAGTTCAGTACCGGAACGTTTTGTCAGTATAATGGAGCCTGGGGCGCTGCTAGGGTGTAACTTAGGCTACTTTTATTTTATAAAAAATCGAATTATTTTAGAAAGTGTAAAATAAAACTACAACACTATATATTATATGTTTAACCTATTCTAATATTGTTGCAGGATTAGAAAACGTTTCCGAATACAGAATGTAGGTAATGGACCTCTAAATGTCACAGCTGAGACGGAAGCACCCTGGCGCATTGTACAGGAGGACAGACAAGAACATGGTCTACCATGTGGCACTGGCTGTGGATGCTATCAACGGGCAACGAGAAAACGACTTGATCTCCTGCCTCTTCATCTTGAACCTAGAAGCTCTTTAGAGGTCAGATTTATTTGCTCATAGCTCGTAGGTGTGTAGGTGTAATTAGGATAAAGTATAGATATATTCGTTTAGAATGTATTGAGTTTTCGAGGTTTTGGACTCTTTTTAATATTATAAATGCGAAAGTTTGTAAGTATGGATGTTTGTTACTCTTTCCCGCAAAAACTACTGAACGGATTTTGCAACATAAAATTAAATGACGAATCTCTCGAATTTATAGAATCTACTGTCTTTCTAGGAATCACACTAGATAATAAAACACAGTGGGGTGCACAAATTCAAAGTCTTGCAGCGAAACTGAGTTCAGCAGCTTTTGCCGTGCGTAAGGTTAGACAGTACACTGATACTGATACTGTTAGATTGGTCTATTTTAGTTATTTTCATAGTTTACTCTCTTATGGAATATTACTATGGGGAAAAGCGGCAGATATTAAAAATATATTCATATTACAAAAACGTGCCATTCGAGCGATCTACTGTATGAAGAGTCGTGACTCATTAAGAGAGAAATTCAAAGAGGCAAATATTCTCACCGTTGCTTCTCAATTTATATATTCAAATATCCTATATGTTCATAAAAATCTTGACTTATTTCCAAAAAACAGCAATATTCATAATATTAATACCAGATTTAAAGACAAACTTGCTGTCCCCAAGTATCGTTTAGAAAAAGTTAATAGGTCTTTTATGGGAATAGGTATAAAAATTTACAATAAGATACCAAAGGATATATTGGAATTACCCTTAAATAAATTCAAAACATCTGTTCAATCATATTTACTGAGCAAAGTCTATTACTCACTAAACAATTACTTGAATGACGAGCGTGCATGGCAATAGTTGTTCATGCACGGGATTTTCATTTAATGTTAGACATAAACACCTATGTAAATATACATTGTAAATAAACTGGCTTTTAAAAAAAAGTAATTCAATTGAGTTTCTTGCCAATTCTTCTCAATTGGATCTATATACCGAACTGGATGGTAGGGAAAAAAATGTAAAAACTTGACGTTCATAAGCGGCTAAAATGTCCTACATGAATAAATGATTTTTGAATTTGAATTGAATTTGAATTTGAAACATTGAACCATTAATTGTACAATACATTCACACAGGAATTTGGCTCTGTTACATTACATATTAAGATTAATGTACTCATGGAGCATTTTCTGTGTCATTTATAAACTTCTATGGCATACATTATTCAGTATATCATTCTGAGTTCATGAATAAATCGGAAACAGTAGTAAACCCAGACTCAAAACGTCATTGTACAATATAATATATGAGTATGTAATTTATTTGTAAATCTGCACAATGAGTTAATATTAAGATACAACATCTTTGCCGTGATTTACTGGTCGACGTAACCTGACGTGGCATGTATAGAGCTACTATGACGTAGGCATCCCCTAAGAAAGAATTCCACACCTAAGGGGATAAAATAGGGGAAGAAAGTTTGTATAAATCTTCTTAGATTTTCGACTGATTGGACTGAAATTAAAGATTGGAGCTACTATGATGAGGACATTCGCTTAAATAGGATTTTGATAAATTCAACCCCCATGGGGATAAAATAAGGGATGATGCAGAATGTAAATGTATTAGTTCGAACCTATATTTGAACACACAGGAATTTGTCTCTGTTATATTACATATTAAGATTAATGTACTTATGGAGGATTTTCTGTGTCATTTATAAACTCCTATGGTGTCTACATTATTCAATATATTATTCTGAGTTCATGAATAAACCGGAAACAGTCGTGAACACCAATCTCAAAACGTCATTGTACAAAATAATAATAATAATAATAATAAATAAAGTAAATAAAAAAACCTACCTGATAGATATTGCAGTTCCTAATACCCATAATCTCCAGAAGACAATTGCTGAAAAAATAAACAAATATGCAGAGCTAAAGGAAGAAGTAACAAGAATTTGGAAACAGGAAAAAGTTTATGTAATACCCGTAGTCCTCTCATCTACAGGTATCATACCCAAACACCTACATCATAGCCTGAAACAGTTAGATATACAAAAAACACTTTACATCACCCTTCAAAAAGCTGCCATCTTAAATACTTGTCGTACAGTCCGAAAATTTCTCGAAATCGATGAAAATGATATAACACCAGTCACACCAGGCACACAATAAGTACACACACACTCACGCATACATACACGCGCAGACACACATACACACACTCTGCACTTACTCGGTTTCGGCCCGTAAGTGTGGAGAAAACCAGCAATAGCTGAGAAAAAATAAAGAATAATAATAATAATCTAATAACAATTCACACAGCGCCATCTAGACCCGAGTTAAGCTATCTGAAGCTTGTGTTACGGGTACTAGATAACTGATACAAGTACATAGATAATTTTTTTTTCGTAAATACATACATAGAATATACATAGAAAACACCCAGACCGATACAAACAATCATACTCATGAATACAAATGTTTGTGCCGTGCGAGGAATCGAACCCGCGACCATCGGACGTAAAGCGGTGTGCTAGACCGCTCGACCACCGAAGTCGTCATATATGAGTTTTGAACATTTGCCGCGAACCACTGGTCGACGTAACACGACGTCGACCAGATCGCGGCAAAGATGCACGTATTGTTTTATTATATTTGACGACCTCGGTGGTCTAGCGGTCTAGCACACCGCTTTAGGTCCGATGGTCGCGGGTTCGATTCCTCGCACGGCACAAACATTTGTATTCACAACAACACAACACCGAACATCTTTATTTACTCTTAAATTATTCGTGTCAAGACCCGGTTAACGATATAATAATTATAACTCTGGACAATTAAAACAGCGCCATCTAGTCCCTGTTTTAATTTAAATCAAGTTAAGCAAGCTAAAGCTTGTATTATGGGTACTAGACAACTGATACAAATACTTAGATTTTTGTTTTGTAAAAACATACATAGAAAACATCCACACCGATAGAAACAATCATACTCATGATTACAAATGTTTCCACCGTTCGAGGAATCGAACCCGCGACCATCGGAAGCAAAACGGTGTGTTAACCACTGTACCACCGAGGCTGTCATTAACGTACCACTGCAAGCTATACGTGTTTTTTTAGATTTAGCACTACCTACTAGAACCTTAGGCAAGATGCTAGGTATAAAATTTTACATTTAGTTTTGCCTCTCTGACACAGATCGTTGTTTGTGTTTCATTATTATGAAAACTTTCTGCTCTGAAAAAAGTCCAAGAATGTTTTCTTTCGTAACACAAGTTACCTCGGGCGAATGTTAATCTATACATATAAATAAAATTGGAGTGTCTGTTTGTAATATTGAAATAACCATTTTTTACTACATGCATATGAATATAAATACGGTACATACACCGAAAAAACATTTTTTACAATTTTTGTTTATCTGTCTGTCTGTTCCGGATAATCTCTGAAATGGCTGGACCGATTTTGATTGGACTTTGATTGGCAGGTAGCTGATATAATAACGAGTAACTTAGTCTACCTTTATTTAGAAAAATATAGTTAAATTTCACGCAGAAGAAGTCCCGTGTACATGTAGTTAAAAATAAAAATGTTTATGACAAAATAAGAACGCATGGTTAATTATTAAAGGGTGTATTGTTACACAAACCTTGTTGGTAAACAAAGCCGGCGCTGATTCAAGTGTGTTGTGTACCTTATATGGTGTACAAAAACAAATTCATTTCTGGTACCGAAAAACATTTATTCCGTTTATTAACTCTCATATTACATTTTAAATTTATCCCTAATTTCTTAAATAGAAAATTCTCGTATCGCGGTTATCAAACTCGTCCGAATCGGCTTTACCGAGTTTTATGAAATTATAGGATCGTATCAGGTAGGTCTGAGGATGGACTGTGTGAAAGATGATTTGGTGAGAATGGGGGTAAATAACGAGATGACTGCGAACAGAGATGAATGGAAGAGAAAAACATATTACGACGACCACAAATAAGTAGGATAAGGAAGAAGCAGATGATGATGATCGGGTAGGTCTGAGAATCAGCCAACATCTATTTTTCTTATCCTACAATGATAAGGGAATCGTAAATTATAAATCAGAGAGAATTTTTTCCCTAATTCGTACCCTAAATGTAAACCAACTTGGTTGCTCAATGTAGCGACTACGAGAATATGCTATTTATTTCTGTTAAAAGAAAATAATCTAGTTAGTGGTCGTAACCCGAACAGACTAGTCATATTCGTATATCCGTCATACTCGGGAACGAGAGTTGCTTGTGGGGACAAGCAACTCCCGTTCTCGAGTATGAGGGTTAAGCCAGCCATCATTGCTCACAAATATTTTTCTTATGAATGATAATGGACTGGTGCACCCGCCTGCGCAGTTTGCGCTGTCGAGGCATCGATGGAGGACGATAAGAAGAACATGAGGTCAGGTTAGTTTGCTTATCTTTATTAAATAATCAAGAATTAACCACGATGGTTTCCGGGGGGAACCGCGTGGAGGTCGACCAAAAATGGTACATTGCTAGCAGTGAGGATACTCGACCAACAATTCACTTCCCTCTTAAAGGCAATTTGTTCACTGTTCAAGTTGTAACACTAGTAGGCAATTTGCTCACTGAAGTGATATAGTTATAAATTTTAGGGTACAATAGGACTGACATGATTTAGAGTTTAGAAACTTCTTGCCACGCACAACCATATTATGGAATCACCTTCCAGCAATGCTATTTCCGAACCGATACGATATTGAAACCTTCAAGAAAAGAGTTAATTCATTTATAAAAGGCCGACAACGTACTTGCAATTCCCCTGGTGTTGCGGGTGCTCATGGGCGGCGGTAATCACTTACCATCAGGTGAGCCATATGCTCGTTTGTCCCCTGTGTTATAAAAAAAAAATAAATTCAGTTCATTCAAAAGTCATAAAATTTCAACGAAAAAATTGTTTTTAATACAAAGGTTGTTTACACAGGTTACTCTTTAAACTGGAACCAAACCACATAAATTGTCGCACGGTGCCCATAAAATAACAAACAAGATAATATATCGCTTGTTTGCCAGCGCGTAAATCTTACGGTCGCTGAATTGCAGTTTACAATTCACTGTTTGTTTTTTGGAAACTGAACACGGATACAAAATTGGCCTTATGGCGATGTGATTTTCATCATCATCACCATCACCATCGCGGCCCGATGGACGTCCACTACTGGACATAGACCCTAAGATCTCCACGACGATCGGTCCTGCGGTGCTCGCATGCAGAGGAAATCACGACCACATTATATGGCTGCTAGTATAAATAATAAATTTAGTAATTCAACCTCCCAATTATTTTAAAAGTAATTTTAAATACCAAGGGACTGAGTCTATTATTGTCCACTACGTGTGTTAACCAAAAAATTATAATAAACTGCCAGAATCTGCATTAAATCTGACAGAGAGGCAATTCAAATCTTATATTATTGTTGGGCTCCTCGCTCATTGGGCTCCCTAAAATATGGTCGAGCGGGTGCTGCTTGTAGGGACTGGTCTGCTCTAATCAATATGACTGATTTCCTCGTATTATTTGTTTAACCAGTTGGTTATATATTCAATATTTTTTCTATTTGAGTATTTAATTGAATTAGTGCTAATTGGTGGTTTGTATTCACACACTTAAACTTAAAAGTGTAAAGTAATAATAAAATCATTTAAAAGAGCAACACGCAAGTTTCTTGCTCGTTCTTCTTGTGATGAGACAGCATTCCGAACGAGCGGTAGATTAAAAAAATGTAATGACTATTCAAAAGTGCTTCAATGTAAGTTTATTTGAATAAATGATTTTCTATTCTATTCTATTCTATTCTAATGCCTTCCAGCGATCTTGACCAGATCGTCGGTCCACCTTGCTGGAGGCCTTCGATGTAATTTTACTCAGTACAAAAATCCTTCAATTGTTATAACGTAATTATTTTATCACACTAATTCCAATGTGCTCTTTCTAATGGTGTGTTACTAACAACTCCATTCCTAGCCATGTACCATGTTAGGTCGACCTCCATGCGGTGCCCCTCGAAAACCATCGTGGTTAATTCTTGATTATTTAATAATTATGGGCAAACTGACCTGATCTCATGCTCATCTTATCATCCTCCACTGGTGCCCCGCCAGCGTAAACCGTTAGCGCAGGCGGGTGCATAATTCCATTATCATCCATAAAAAATGATTTTTTTTGCAGTATTGTCACTCATCTATACATATAAATAAAATTGGAGTGTCTATTTGTAATATTGAAATAACCGTTTTTTACTACATGCTCATATGCATGTAGTAAAAAACATAAATACGGTATATACACCAAAATAACCTTGAGATTGGTATGTTTTAATTGAGCGCTTTGTCACCAGATGTGCGTGGAGGTGTGTTGTGATGCTGCGGAGATTTGGCCGACTACAGCTGGTGCCCCACCATGCCAGCCGCCATCGTATCCCCCTCGACGGAGAACCGTCACGCCTCTGGTGTTCCGTGATGGCGACAACTTGCTTGCTGTACGTAATATTTATTAATTGACCTCGTAGGTGAGTAACTGTTTTATGTGTGCTATAAAACAAACACAAAATTTTATTTAACTACAACCTATTATTTATTGAATAAAAGAAGAGTATGTTCAGATATGACGACTGATAGAGAGCAGTGGAAGAGAATGACATACTGCGCCGATCACTAATAATGGGATAAAGGCAAGGCAATGATGATGATTTATTTATTTATCCTTTACTAGCTGTTACCCGCGGCTTCGCTCGTGTTAATTTATCCCCTTAGGGGTGGAATTTATCAAAATCTTTTCTTAGAGGATGACTACGTCATAGTAGCTTTAAGCATGCAAAGTTTTAGCCCGATCTGTTTAAAATTGACAAAGTTTTATATAAACTTTCATCCCCTATTTTATCTTCTGGGGGATAGAATTAATCAAAATCCTTTCTTAGCGGATGCCTACGTCATAACATCTACCTGCATGTCAAATTTCAGCCCGATCCGTCCAGTGGTTTGGGCTGTGCGTTGATAGATCACTATGTCAGTCACCTTTGACTTTTTTTTTACTTTGACCTTTGAGTTATATATATTTAAACTAGCAGACCTGTCCATGCGTTGTTGTGGCTATTTCCAATAAAATAATATTGCGACTATAAATTAAGATGTAACCTATACTATCTTTCAAGTTAGATCAAAGTGCACACAATGTGCAAATCAAATTGGCTATCTGTTCAGTAGTTTAGGAGTCCATCGCGGATAAACAACGTGACACGTAAGTTTTATATATAAAGATATACAGACGAAGTCGTAACTAAATTATTGATAGATTATGAAAAAACGAAGTTTTTATTTTTACTTAAACTCATTTGTTTGCGACGCGGCCGATATTAAAAGCATGCCAGCTTTCATGGCCTTTTTACAACTTGAAAGGTTTTACTTCTTTATACTTTAAAAACATTGTGAATTATTGAAGGACTTACAAGAAAAACAAACCTTATTCTTCTTTAAAACTGGAATGGCAAACAAATAGACCGTCTGGTAGGAAGTGATAGATATATCAACTCTATGTACTAGTAAAAGTATGTATTATAATAAAATAACAACTATATAACATTAATTTAACTATGTCTCTAACACAATTTACTTTAGCAATTTAAAATACAACCACATCCTGTGCACAAAGACCGAATGCCGCGGCTTTTTTTTTTTTCGGACTACTCTAATGCTGTTGGCCGTAGCTGGCCTTTACAGCTTCACCGGACGTTATGGGGCGAGTGCAGATGGCACACCAAACCCGCGGAAGGACTTATGGAGCGGCTGAAGGCCAACTCCTGCCTGACGGATACGACTTTAGTCTGAGGGCACCACTAGGGGTTCGAACCTCGGCTCAGGCCGTCGTAATTTCGATCCCCGTTTGAATTGGACAGGGGATCGAACGGAAGGGCGCCCGGGGGCGCCGGTGTGGAGCGCCCGGGCGCGCGCAGGCGCCCGGTTGAATGTACGATATTGAGTGTTTGAGGTCGTCGTCTTCGCCGGCGAGGACGGTGTCGTGTGTGTGTGTGTGTGTGTGTGTAAAAGTGTGGTCGGGGTGGAACGGGTGGGCCCGTGGGGAGGTTACCTGCCGTTATGGGGTCATCGGGGTCAATGAGAACGAGCCTCGGGCGACGTGCCGCGGCTTACAAAAACCCTCCCTTTTATACAGAGAAGATATGAGTGGGGGTTATATGAAACTAGTTTAACGATACCGAGTAATAATGAAACTACCTTCTTTTAATATAAAATATCAGATTTGTGAACCCTAACAGAAGTGATAACCATTGTTTGTAATAATTACACAAATATGTAGACCTGCATCCCTCTCTCGACGCTCCAGTAACATGTTGGTACGACCACGATTTAAAAAGAACTATACCAGTAATTGCTTTATACCCCGTTCCGTCAATATGTATAACACAAAGTTTGTTGACTTGGATCCGTTTTGTTGCACCTTAGTTACATACAGAAAGAAACTATTCGAAACACTAAAGTAAGCCCTTTTTATTTTTATTTTTGTTATTATAATTATTATAATGTTTGTACTGTAATATTCTCATTTATTTTTTCTTATTCATTTTCTTTGTAGTTGTATTGTTTTGTTTTTATTTTAGTCCACTAGGCTCACTAAAATGAAGTATAAAATTTTCGGCACTCAATGTCTATTGTAAAAATTACTTCTATTTGTATTTGTATATTTATATGTTTTTATAACGACTGTTTGTTGCCAAAATAAAGAAAAAAAAAGAAATATCTGGACAATTCACAGCGCAATCTAGACCCAAGGTAAGCTAGCTAAAGCCTGATAGATTTTTTTTTGTAAATATATACATATTATACATATAGTAGTAATGTTAAAAATATAGACAGAACGATTCAAGAGGAGTTTCCACCCGCGTACACTTAGATTGTGGAATGAACTACCTGCTGAGGTTTTCCCACGAGACTACAGCATGGGGTTTTTCAAGAAGGGTATATTAAGGTTTCTTAAGGGTCGGCAATGCGCACGTGACACCCCTGGTGTTTCAGGCGTTCATAGGCTACGGTAACCGTTTACCATCAGATGGGCCGTATGCTTGTTTGCCACTTACGTAGTATAAAAAAGTAAGATACAGTTTCGTATTTATAACATTTGTTGAATTACGAATCCTTATAAAGTAATATATATGTATTTGTCTATATATATTTTATTCATGTTTGAGAAAATAATATTCAACAATTATAATAAAATATACAATAATAAATAATTATAATTATTACAAGATTATTTAAGTTGTTGAATTTTTTTTTTCTCAACTTTTGGACATTTCTACATCATATTGTTAAATGTATATGTGTTACCCAATCACTAATAGTTCTGCCTCACTGTTGGGTTGACTAGTAGAGATCTCTTTTAGAGATAAGTCCATGATTGCTCACTCTGTATATATTTATGTTTACAACTACATTTAAAAGTGCAATAAAGAATATATATATATGTATAAAATAGAGAGTGGACTGTAAGAATTGAATAGAATAATAGAATAGAAAATCATTTATTCAAATAAACTTACATTGAAGCACTTTTGAATAGTAATCGCATTTTTTTTAAATCTACCACTCATTCGGAATGCTGTCTCATCACAAGCAAGAAACTTGTGTGTTGCTCTTTTAAATAATTTATTCTTACTTACAATTTAAGTTTAAGTGTATGAATACAAACTACCGATTAGCACTAATTCAATTAAATAATAAAATAGAAAAAACATTCAATACACAACAATTAGTTAAACAATTAATAAGAGGAAATAAGTCATAGTGATTAGAGCAGACCAGTCCACACAAGCAGCACCCGTTCACGAGTATGACGGATGAGCCAGCCATCACTGCGCTGGGCCATATTTTATTGTGTTTATTGAAAAGAAAATAATTAATGGAAAAGTAAGCAGAAATAGTATATACATAATATTCAACCTGGAAGAACGTCTTCCACACTCCGACCACCCCAAAGTAAGCAATGTAACACCAAACTTACTCACCTTTGCTCAGGAACGTCCCGATGTGTAGTACTGTTTAGTGGCCACGCACTCTACAGTGTATATTTTCATAAAAACAATTGTATTATGTTAAATAAATCATTAATTATCTTGTTTCATATAGTTAAAAATACGGAGCGTCCTTTTTATTTCAGTTCTTATTTTCAATTGTTTTTTTATTCTACGAACAGCACTAGCTGTTCCCGCGACTTCGTCCGCGTGATATTTAACTTTATTTTTCTAAAGTTACTCCTTATTACATCAGCTACCTGCCAAAAAAGTCTCGTCAAAATCGGTCCAGCCGTTTCAGAGATTATCCGGAACAAACAGACCGATAAAAATTGTAAAAAAAATATTTTGGTGTATGTACCGTATATATATTCATATGCATGTAGTAAAATGTTATAACAATATTACTGTTGCCGATGGCAAGCTTTTTGATAGTTTTTATGTTTTTTATATATATTTGAATTTTATATTTTGACGTTCTGTTTTTATATACTATATAATAATAATAATAACTCTTTATTGCGCATACATAAACATAGGACAGATATAAAACAATGAAAATAAATGTTTTACAAAAGGCGGTCTTATCGCTATCAGCAATCTCTTACAGACAACCCGGTGCTAACAGAGAGTATTTACATAAAGAGAGAAGGTAGGAGGCGCACTAAACACTGTATTTATTATACAATTATAGATAAACATACATTTTATAAACATAAATAAATAAACTTACACACCAATACATACAATATACATACATATACTACATAATAATGGACGAGAGGACGTGTTATTATTCTATTACAGGGATATATAATGCGATTTTAATAATTTTTGAAAAATGGCATATGATTGTGCTGATCGAATGGGAAGTGGTAAGGAGTTCCAGAGACGAATAGCTTGTACAGTAAAAGAATCAGCGTAATATTTAGAAGAATGAGGTGGGAAGGTAAGACAGAGGCTTCTTGTGCTGCGTAATTCAGAAACCGGGTGTTTAGAATGGAACTGAAAGTTCCTTTTTAAGTAATGAGGAGTATGAGGGTGGGAGAGGATTGTATAAAGGAGGGATAAAATATGGTAGTTCCTGCGAAGACGAATGGGAAGCCACTTGAGTTGTTTGCGAAATTGAGATATGTGGTCATACTTACGAAGACCAAATATAAATCGTATACAAATGTTTTGGAGTCGCTCAAGTTTATTCAATTGTTCTTCAGTAAGATTTACATAGCAGGAACCTGCATAATCTAGGATTGGGAGTAACAACGAATGTGCGAGCGCAGTCTTGGTAACTACTGGCAGGAAATTTCGCAATCTATTTAGGCTTCCGAGAGACCCAAATATTTTACGACTTAATTGCGAAATTTGGTGCGACCATGATAATGTTTCATCGAAATAAATACCGAGGTTTTTTACCTGGGCACTGAATTCAATGACATGGCCATTGAAGGTAATAGGCGGGAGACTTGTTTTATTTA